AACCTCAATGTTTATTTCACTGTTTACAAACCTCCATGTTTATTTTACTGTTTACAAACCTCACTGTTTATTTCACTGTTTACAAACCTCCATGTCTATTTCACTGTTTACAAACCTCAATGTTTATTTCACTGTTTACAACCCTCTATTTATTTTACTGTTTACAAACCGCCATGTCTATTTCACTGTTTACAAACCTCAATGTTTATTTCACTGTTTACAACCCTCTATTTATTTCTTTGTTTATAAACCTGTATGTTCATAGCATGATATAAACATAAAAGTTTTTATACAACACAAACCTTTCTTCAATATAATGCTTTACTTTGGAAGAGTCGATGTTAGGCATCTAAGCCCTAATCTTTGTGGCAACTAACACGGTAATGAAAGTTACAGTCAAAACTGACCACCAGCTGAAAGTCGGAGAACAATAGGGGTTAATAACAGGCATGGGTTGAGAAGTGGATTTCTGGGGAAGGTGGGGGGTTTTGAGAACAATAAGGGTTAGGGTTTTAGAAGTTGGTGCTAGGCATTGAAAGTTGTAAGTAAAACTTGAATGTTCTGTTGATGATTATTTGGTTAAATGTAATAAACGTCAATTTTGTTTTTGTTTCTAATTTTTGTGTATGTTGTTTTTTTTGGGGGGGCAAGGGGAGAACCTGGTCCCGGTTGACACCTGACACCAGCCGAAGCTTAGTGACCGGGTACCCGGACCCAGTATTCGGCCAAATTTTACTACTTGTGCATCCTTAATAAACATATTTGCAACAAGCAATCACTTCAAGTGCAATAGTTAGGGTAAATCTTATATGATGATATTTATTACGAAGAAATACATAAAACTTTTTTCTTGTAGCTTTTGCCAACATTATTAAGGAGATTTTTATTGATGTTGTTGAATTTCAGGTAAAGCAACACGACGACTATCTGAGCTAGTTATCCCTAACTTTGAAGTGACAGACTAGCAGGAAGGCAGATACTGCCAACTGTTGGGCTACTCTTGTCAGACTGATAAAGTAGGATTTGACTGTCACTCGTGGTCCCAAAGTGAGGAATGCAATTAATGTTTTTGCAGTAATAGGATATGAACCTTGGAACTTCAGATTCACAGCCTGACACACTAACCTCCGAGTCCAGGGAGACACAGAACTGACTTCTTTGCAAGTTTTAGTTGAGTCTGTCTAATTACACCACTATTGTTTCTTTTTGTTGTTAGCTTACCTCACTATATTTTAACTCTTATGCTGTATTATGTATCAATTTTTATGCACTTCAGTTTGTTAAAAGGAAAACTTTGCTTTATTTATTTACAAACATTTACATTATTATGATTCAACCTAATGATTTTGACATGATGTAAAAGACATGTCTCCTAGTCTAATGAAAAAAAAGGTCACTCACCTATTGTAAAAGTCATTCCTTCTTGCATAATTCCATCTGACTGATTGACTAGAATGTAAACATTTATATATTTATGAAATTAATTTCATTCGTATCCATTTCTTTTGATAAATATGAACAGTAATTAACACTGAAGATTCTTAAATGTAAGCATAAAAATCAGATGTATACCATTATCATCAATAACAATATGCAGGTATAAGTACATGAAAATCAGATGTATACCATTATCATCAATAACAATATGCAGGTATAAGTACATGAAAATCAGATGTATACCATTATCATCAATAACAATATGCTGGTATAAGTACATGAAAATCAGATGTATACCATTATCATCAATAACAATATGCTGGTATAAGTACATGAAAATCAGATGTATACCATTATCATCAATAACAATATGCAGGTACAAGTACATGAAAATCAGATGTATACCATTATCATCAATAACAATATGCTGATATAAGTACATGAAAATCAGATATATACCATTATCATCAATAACAATATGCAGGTATAAGTACACGCAAATGAAACACTCGGATGATGATTTTTTCATAATTTTGTTTTACTGTCTGAACCATTTTTAAAAAAATAAAAACTCTAAAGTAAACTGAAAATGTTCATTCTGGATAAAGCAACAAGCTTCATCTACCTATCACCAGTAGAATGAAACAAAGTTATAAATTTACTGTAAGGAAATGAACCTTGTTACATTGTTTAAAATGAATCATTACTCATACCTAAAGCATGTATTACAAACTGAAAAATGTAATGACTGAACTATTTTATACTCAAAACAATAATAATTAAGGATTATGTAGCAGATTTACATTTATCATGACTTGTGTTTTCACTCAGTTTAAAAAAAATTAAACCAATTTGACTATTAAAACAAGGCACAAAAAAGCCATACTCATACTCTTGCATTATAAAGTATTAGTAATAGGTTCATTTACAATTCTTTATATTACAGAGGTGGTAAAAACTATAGACGGAATAAGTAAAAATTAATAATGCTGGGCAAGAACCTTAATATTTATCATCGTTGCTGATCCATGAACGAAGAATACACTATGAAATATGTAAGTAAGTAAAATTATCATTATCAACATTGCAAATCTAACATGTTAACACACAAACAACAGCACAAAATAAAGGTAGTACGTAAGATATTTTTAGTAAGCAAATCTTGGGTAGGTTTTCTAATTAGCTAAAGCTTTTTATCATTGTCTTTAACTTGACAATGTCCCTGGTAGTGAAACACTGCTACATCAAAAGATACAACACTGTCACTAATAATGTTGAAAGCAGAAAACTGCCAAGAAATTGAAGTCTTAATATTCAGTAGTTCTAGTGTACCAATATAAACCTGATTTGTGTAAGAATTATATAATTCATGTGTATCAAAACACCAATACTTAATTCTCTGATACTCTATTGCAATTTCTGATAGGTTTTTAATCCTACTAAAAATATTAAAGCAAAAGGAACTTATTCAGGAATCACTAAAGATTTTTTTCCTTAAAAGTTATTAAAATGAGAAAAAATTTAATTTTTCTTAAATATTTCTGGTAGCATACATACACAAGGATTAGTATATAATACAGCTTTTTGACATCTCTAATTCTGAATCTATCTGCTTTGACTTAAAGTGATTCATTAATAAACTTAAAATTATTTATTTCTCTTTCTCTCATTATATATATCTTGAAGTGCGACCTTTGAAGTCACGAAACAGGCTGAAGAAAGTAATACAGGAGAGAAAAATAGAACAGTTTGATATTCCAATGTTTTCTTTATTATATATATACAGAAGATGGAAATGATACCAAACAACACAGTATCCGACAGAAGATGGAAATGATACCAAACAACATAGTATCCGATAGAAGATGGAAATGATACCAAACAACATAGTATCCGACAGAAGATGGAAATGATACCAAACAACATTAGGATCTGACAGAAGATGGAAATGAAAACAAACAACATAGTATACACACACACACACACATACATATACATACATACACACTGTACACTTACATTAATTCTAAACTATTAGGGTAGTCTACGTGACTCAAAGCAATTTTATTTTCAAATAATTAATATTCAAAATTTTCATAATAGGTAAGCAAACTATGATCTATAAGCATAAGGTAGTTTGCTTATAAATCATTACTTCCCTATTGACTATATAACATACCTAAAGAAGACAGTCCAATGTTCTGTCGAAACATGTAGTATGTTCCACCATCAATAAAACTCTTCCTTATGCTTATAAACTGTTGTTTGCCTACCTGTTATTGTATTAACGTAATGTGCTTCCTTACTCAACAGTTCATAATTTTAATAATATTGATATTTCCTTTGAATTCTTATATGTTAGTGGACGCTTTAGAATATATTAATATTTTTACACAAATCATACTTAGAGCTTAGGTACCCCCATAATAAATAATTGTGGTAATTTAGAAATAAAAATATTTGCTTATTTTTACATAAAATGATTCTAATTTTATTACTAGCTCTTCAACATTATATTTCATACTAATGAATAAAGAAATCATTCTGGTAAAAATTACGTGTTCAGATTGTGAAAAACAAAACGAAAACAGGGCAAAAAAGAGAGACAGTATTCATAACATTTATCTCTAACATGAAGAATATTTTGCCATATGATCCTTACCAAAATGAAACACATCTGGTGGTCCATGAAAGAATTTCCCAATCCCATGGCCACAAAATTCAGGAACAACTGTGCATCCTCCTACTTCTGCTGTTTCACTGTAATTTAAAATAAGAAACAATATGTATGGAATAAAATGGATCCCTGTAAAAAAAAGTTGTAAACATTAGTTCATATACATATGTATATTAGGTTCTAATTATTGCTTAAAACATTATTTCAACTAAAAACACTGGTTTATCACTCAGAGCTTAAGATCTATACATTCTAGAATACTCCTCGTCCTAAACAATTGATAGATGGAAATTATATCAAAAAACATAGTATCTGACAGGAGATGGAAATGATACCAAACAACATAGTATCCGACAGGAGATGGAAATGAAACCAAACAACACAGTATCCAACAGAAGATGGAAATGATACCAAACAACATAGTATCCGACAGAAGATGGAAATGATACCAAACAACATAGTATCCGACAGAAGATGGAAATGATACCAGACAACACAGTATCCGACAGAAGATGGAAATGATACCAAACAACATAGTATCCGACAGAAGATGGAAATGATACCAAACAACATAGTATCCGACAGAAGATAGAAATGAAACCAAACAACATAGTATCCCACAGAAGATGGAAAAGATACCAAACAACATAGTATCCGACAGAAGATGGAAATGATACCAAACAACATAGTATCCAACGGAAGATGGAAATGATACCAAACAACATAGTATCCAACAGAAGATGGAAATGATACCAAACAACATAGTATCCAACGGAAGATGGAAATGATACCAAACAACATAGTATCCAACGGAAGATAGAAATGATACCAAACAACATAGTATCTGACAGAAGATGGAAATGATACCAAACAACATAGTATCTGACAGAAGATGGAAATGATACCAAACAGCATAGTATCTGACAGAAGATGGAAATGATACCAAACAGCATAGTATATGACAGAAGATAGAAATGATACCAAACAACATAGTACCACATATTTTGATATTCTGTGCATAAAATACTCTACACATATATGATTATGTAATATTAATAATAACAAAATATTTTATATAGCATAGTAGGGCAGGTGAGTTCTCTAGCCTCAATTAAAAGTGTTGCACAAGCATAACTTTGACTATTACAATATTTACGTGTCCTTGTTCTAATATTTACTTTCCTGGGACTCCCCCCCTTTTACAAAACCATGGATTCTCCAATGTCATAAACTTAATAGTAAACTCACTATGTACCTAATAATTCTACCAATTTCACTGAACTTTTGCTCAGGACCACAAACAGTCACTGCTGCATTCAAGCAGTTCTGTGCTACATGCATTAACTTCTTTCCTTTTCCATCCACATCTCCTATTCCAAATGTCCTTGCACAATCTCCATGGTAACCATTGTAGAACACCTGAAAAGAAAATTGGATATATAATAAGCCAGCAGAGAAAAAAATCCTTGTTATCAACTCAGTTAGATTAGTCAAAGATCAAGATAGTACAAGAAAAACAAAAAACTCAGTTGTGTAAAGGCAGGTAAGATGCCTTTCTTAAAATATTAGCAAAACTTCATACTTTTTATTTTCTTAGTATGCCAACAACATACAGCACCATTACCAAACTAATAGTAGAAAAAGATCATTGAAATCTGGTTGAGAAGTAAAACCAGTACAATTCAGTGGGTGTAAGTTGACATTAGCTTTCAATGTTAGCTGTTTTACTGTCACATACATACATACACTGACATCAATGCTGATTATATCACCATCCTCCAGTGGTCTATCATCAGGAATTCCATGACAAGCAACATTATTTACAGATGTACACACAGATTTAGGAAATCCATGATAATTGAGTGGTGAAGGATAAGCTTTGTGAGCTATGGCTGCAGTATGTACCATCTGGTCCACTTCCTCTGTTGTCATTCCTATCTTTGAAACAAGAAAATATAATTCATGACCCACTACAACACAAAGAACTAATAAAGAATGCCAGGATGCTGGCATAACCAAATACAGTTTACAAGTCGTGATAGGTGAGAGTGATGTGATAAAAATGAATGATTTCATATATTTTAGTAATTCATGCACAAAACAGTTCATTGATCTGTACATTCAAACTTTAATAATGTGAGAAATATGGCATTTTCCTAGTTTAGTGTAATATATTTTTATATACACTATTAACCATACCCTACCGCATATTTGTATTAACAGATTTGCAACTATATTTAACTTAGAAATTTAGTCACCTAGAAATAAATGAATGGTTGGCAAAAGGTTACTATTGGAAGTTAGCATTTTTCTACACTGAAAATGTATTTCCAACAGATACTTACCACTACTCACTAGCATTGCCCTATGTCGGTGCAAATTGTCAATACCACTAGCCTTCCACTTCTGCATATCTACATGCAAATGATCATGCAGCAGCTCTCCACCAATAGGAGCGCAACACAACCCCTATCATAACCAGAGCCCTCTTCACATCTGCATTCATTAATCACTTCACGATTGGTCAGAATATCTATTGCACCAACAGAGGGCAGTGCTAGTTGAAAAAACTATTTTCTGAGGGAGGTAAGATTTCGTATTGGAAGTTATGATTAATATACTACAGGTTAAAATGTTCAGATCTAAAACTTCATGTACCATGAGATCAAATAAATCTAAACAGCATGGGATTGTTTCTGAGAATTGTTCTAAAAATATTCAGGAAAGTACCATAGATATCATTAAATGAATGTGCCAGAAACAAAATACACCCAAAATATTAGCAAATATGTAACATGTAAAATAACACAGTTGATTAATGTTTATTTCTATGCTTCCCTTACAGAGAGAGGTGATTGAACATCAATCACTGCTGATGTACATTAAGTTTCATATCACCATTGTAATCAGATCTACTTCCAAGTATATCCTACTGACTTGTATGTTGTACAAAGAATATGAGGAAACATATGCAACCCATTATATGAGAACATTTATATTTACAGTCAACACTGATAGGCAAGTTTTTTTCAAAGTCATGCAAGCTATAAAATGTTTTTTCTACAAACATGGAGTTCTACTTTTAATAAAATATTGAAATCAATATTTAAATTAGTTACTATTTTTTTTATGTTATTTATGAATGCTTTACTTAATTTGCACTAAATATTTCCCATATGTGGCAACTATCATTTTAAAACAAGAATTCTGTATTTATAATGAATAAAACAAATAGTGTTAAAATAAAATAATGATGTGTTCTAAATTCATACCTAAAAATCTGATTTGTAAATTACTTAAATTGATAATAATTAAAATTAACTTGCTTAATCTCATTCACACACTAACAGCTGTTGTTCATGTAAGTTGGTGATATATATATATAATGCCTAAACCATTACTATGTCATATCCCAGCAGATCTGATAAGCCCTGTTATTGGGCAAAATGTTTCAGCAGCATTCGGTATAACAGGTGTGGTGTGGTTGACATATTGCAACATATTCTCCTTTGCTTTCAACCATGGGTTTTTAGAATTAAAATGTAAGGCAATTTCAGTTTCTGTAACTGGGAACTAATATACTTATTAAAATCAGGTTACAGAAAAAAAACATTATTTTTGTTAAAAAGCATTATAGTCAAAACAGCAGAAAGCCAGTTTACTATTGCTCAATCCTGTAGCATGTTTACAAAAACAACATATATTTTTAGTTACTTTTCACAGCTTTTATTTTTATCAAACACAAGAGGAAAATGTGTCCAATATAAGCATTTTTCTAACAATAAGTAAGTTAATTATTGTTATAACATTGCTTAAGAATCATTACATTTTTACTCTTGCTTTCCTACACATGAAGATGCTCACCTTAAGACAGCTTCCTGCATGGTCTAGAATGTTTCGGGCAAGTGCACACGAGTCTTTCATTTTCTGAATAACTTCAAGATCTTTTATTTCTATGCTAGGTGCAGCTAGGTCAACTATTCCAGAATATGCATATTCTGGACAAACTATATCTGGAGGAATTTCTCCTGCTTCACTAACAAGACCAGGCTGAACTAATGCATACTGACCATGTTTTTTTCTAGGTCTTTTCCAGAAGTCATTGAGAAAATTAATGTTTTTGACTGAAGAACTGCAATTGAAATTCTTCTTGAAGTGTATACTTTGACTGATGACTTTAGTTTTAAAAGAGGAAAATATTTTCTGATTTTCACAAACCAATGATCTTAGAGGTGGGTCAATATACCTTCTAACAGTCCAATTTGTTCTCTGAAGCAATGGTATAAAACAGGACTTAATTGGTTGACCAACACAAAAGAAAAAGCATACATGTTTTGGCATAGTATAAAAGACTGTTTTTATCATGTCCGAGTATCTGGTTAATGAAGCTTAAAATCAACAAGCCTCCTATGGTGACAAAGTCTAGAATGAAAAAACAACAAATTGCTTAGCAAATTCTATCAAGCTACATAAAATATAATTACTTTCTGTTTGACTCCTAGGTAAAAATATGAATTATAAAAGTTATTGTCTACCTTATATATTATTAGCAGCTATCATATGAAATGCAAACCAGAGACAATTTTTAAAACTAGTAAAATGAACGTGTTGATATACAAGTGAGTAATTTCATGGATACTTCTGAAACAACTCAAGAATTTAACAAAACATTACCGTAATAATATAGTGCTAGTCATAACTTAAATCATGCTACATAGTACAAACAAACATTACAAGTCACAGGTTTCAAACACACATCATTATCAATCATAAATGTAATGCTGTATCCACCTTGAGTTGGTCCTTTTAAATGTATTTATACCAGTAAAATCTTAGGTTATATATCTAAGGTAACAATGAATCCATCCCGATTCCGTCACTTGATATGTGGGTAATAGTGTACCCATCTTGAATTAGTCCCTTTAAATGTATCTATATAATCAAAATCATACACAGAGCATACATCATAAAGGTAATACTGTGTCCCTTGACATGTATCTATACAATAAAAATCCAAACACAGAATGCATTACAAAGTTAATACTGTATCATCCAAATCAGCTCTTTGAAATGTATCTACACAGTGGAAATCATTATTATATATATATGTAAGAAGAGATATTTAATTAGCTATACTGATTGCCAGGTTGATTTTTAGTTTTGCTCTAAGTACAGAGCACACTTTGTTTGGAAGTTAACTAATCACAACTGAACAATTTAATGGATTAAAAAAAAAAGTTTGAATAACTATTTTAGAAATCAAGGTACTGTTTGGAGTAGGGTGGCAGAAAATGGGATAGCATAGATAGGTATTTGCCCCCTTATTAAAAGGCTGGGTTTTCCTCAATGTATTAACAACAAACCCACTATTCTGGATATTTGAGCTATATGTGGATTTAGTAAAATCACATGATAACCCTATAAAAATAATGATGGAAGTGACTCTTATGCATTTTTTTTTCATTTTAAACAAAAATAGAAACTCGAAAATATAAACTTAATCTTTATTATTTTTACTCTAACCAGTCTCACTGACTCAGTTTATTAATAATTTTCTAGGAAATCCCAGTATAAAGTGATTCAGGTCACACAAGATAACAAAAACCTTTATAAACATTTACTACTTTAAAGTTTAGTACTTCAGAAAAAAATCAACATACAAATGCATACTGTGGAAAAGATTAATTTGCTTTCTTTTTTTACAGAAAATAAAAAAATATGATGTTTTTAAAACAGTTTAATGTTGTTATTTTACTATTAATTAGAAGTGAAGGTAACTTAGTTTTTGATACTAAATTTGAAGGTGTACAAAAATAAGTAAAACATCAGTACTAATAGACTATGTATTACTTAATAAACAGTAATAACTAATATTATGCAAAATTCTGTCCATGTACATTATTGTTAAAATTTTAATATTTAAGTTGTGACAGTTACTACGATTAGGCCAACCATTTGGAAATTCAACCTCATCTTCTTTATCATGGGATAATCGTCTTTAATTGAAAAAGAGGCAAAGTATTGGCAATCCACCCGAAAATAAAACATTTTACCAAAAGCATACTCAAACTCAAAGTGGGGTGGCATGTGCCTCTATTTGCACCTATGGTTAGGCGTCTATGCTATATATAACTCGCTAGGTTAATATTAAAAATAAGCTCTTAAACTTTGTAGAATAAAACATAAAATGAAAACGTTTAAAATGAAATACTAATACTTGCGTATTAACAATATAATATTGCTACAGATTATAATGTCGACCAAATCTGTGAAAACTACTAGTACTGACTACTATTAAGTATTAGTTAATTGATTACGTGTTAGAAACCATTATAAATACAATATCTCATCACAAAGTAAGCAATAATTCACGTTATTTCCGTTATAAATTATAATTCTCAAAGTACAATGCTCTTATATTCTGAGTTCAACCCTTCAGGTTTTCCCTCTAATGCCAGTTACTGATGGTGTGGTACGCCCTCTAATGGTATACTTTGTTTATGGCGTAAAGTATATAATTTCAAAATATGGTTTGAAACTTTTAATCGTCTGATAAGCCTAAACATATTTTGCGATTTTGAGTATCGCAGGTACTTGATAAATTTGACAAGACTTTCAGCTTATAGTTTCCTACATTATAACTTAATCAAAAAATATAAGTTATAATAAATAAATTATGAAAATATTTGTAGTTTGATGCCATAGTTAATATGCATCGTGAGAAAATACAGCATTCCATAATTAATAAAATACGACGTCATTGATCTGTCAAAAAAAACAACAACAACAACAACAAAAAAAACATTCAGATCCAGGGACAGGCTGATAAAAAATCAAGACTTTGCTAGTCAAAATAGCCATTTCATTGGTCAAATATTGTGACCTTTTACTAGTTTTCTGTCGTAGTTATATATTGAGTAATGTAAGCGAAGAGTTGAAAGGGTTTAATATGGTAAATAAAATAAATGGAACATTTTAGCTTGCTTCTACTACAAGTACAGAGAAAGCTGGATTTTCGTTAAACCAAGTCTGAGTTTCACCAGCGATTATGCAGAGCAATTGCGTTAGATTCTGAGAATACCTCAGATTTAGTTTTTAAGACTAGCCATAATTGTGGTGCTTTCGGGTGAAATCGATTTCCCGACAAGTTTCAGATAAGCAAACTCGCAAGTAATAGTAGATTCGATCGAGAAATACGGAAAGTGTTCTGTGGTAGTTCATTTGACCGAGTTCCTCAAGTATAAAATAATGAATCTGAACAATTACAAATAAACAGAAAACACAGCGTTCAAATTTACACAGACGGATAACAGTCGCGTATACAAAGCTGTGTTTAGTTCCACAGCTTTCCCTCTCTCAGGATTAATCTCAGTAGAACTAAAACGCAGCGTTTTTGAAATATATCATCACTTGACGATTTCCTTGTAGAAACTTACCAAAGAGAATAGCTTGAATTCAATAAGCAAACTCGATATCTTTCTCTATTCGACAGAATTACACTATGACTTCTATTCTCCCACAACACTGGTTGGCTGTACTTTAGACAAAGTCAGCAAACCCAGCTAGCAAGGGTATTACAGTGCTAATCCTTTTAATCTAGATTCTATGTATTAATGCAATATCCTCTTGTGCAGAATAGACATTATACTGTTGTAAGTAATATTTTTAATCATGGCCAGGTGGTTAAGGCACTTGACTCGCAATCTGAGGGTCGCGGGTTCGAATCCCTGTCACACCAAACATGCTCGCCCTTTCAGCCGTGGGGGCGTTATAATGTGACGGTCAATCACACTATTCGTTGGTAAAAGAGTAGCCCAAGAGTTAGCGGTGGGTGGCCTTCCCTCTAGTCTTACACTGCTAAATTAGGGACGGCTAGCGCAGATAGCCCTCGTGTAGCTTTGCGCGAAATTCAGAAACAAACAAAGATTATTTTTAATGTTGTGAATGAAATATTAGCTAGAGGGAGCTGCGGGTCTTAATGATGACTGTAATATCAGAATTTTTAATAAGATAGGCCTAGAATATCTAGAAAGCTCTAAGGATGTGGCATAAAGTGCGAATCATCGTTAATTTAGGTAACCTAGAGAGTGAGCTGAAAGACAGTCAAAGAGATAGTAGGTAAAGTTATTTCAAGATATACAGTGAACCAATTAGTGTGTTAGCTATCGCGATTACTCTGTACAAGTAAGTTGATTTGTTTTATCTTAGTTAACTTCATTTAAAACATTCTATATAACTAAAGCAGGTAGAAAACATGATAGGATGATATGTCTGTAAAGCACATAACTACCTGTTTCCTACAGTCCTGATATAATATGGAGCGAAGCATCAAATCAGCCTCAATTATACTAATTTATTTAACTACGTATGTATGATTTCAATACCTGTGGTGAGCAGAGCACAAATAGCCTTTTGTGTAGCTTTACGCTTAACAACAGACAAACAAACTATTCTTGAACTTAAATCCTTCTTAGTCTCCTCTTTGTACAGACTATTACAATTTGTACATTAAAATAAATCCACAAATAAAACAAATTCTCAAAGTTTAACCTAAATATGCAGTATTTCAATTGAATGTTTTTGTTTGTTTTTTTGTATGTGTGATCAGATTGACAGCCTTATACATTTATTTGTAGGCCAAAGTAAAGAGTGAATTTTTTAAATTGGTGATTGTGGTTTTAATTCTTATTTCATTACTTTTTATAGCAGGTTCCCTACTTCATTTTATAATTCGTAATTTTTTAATACTCTTGTACATCAATGTTTATTTTTCCCACGCCATGTTTTCACCATCATCATATCCAACACATTTATGTATGAGAACAGGGTTGCGTCTGGTTCCAGGATTTCTTTAAGTAAGTATACGGGCCCGGCATGGCCAGGTGGTTAAGGCACTCGACTCGCAAGCTGAGGGTCGCGGGTTCGAATCCCTGTCACACCAAACATGCTCGCCCTTTCAGCCGTGGGGGTGTTATAATGTGACGGTCAATCCCACTATTC